AGGAGAGAGAGAGAGAGAGAGAGAGAGAGAGAGAGAGAGAGAGAGAGAGAGAGAGAGAGTTTGGTGTGTACGCTATCAGTCAGGCAACAGGCACTAACTTTTAGATGAGAGAGAGAGAGAGGGAGGCTGTGGCACGTCTGCTATCGAGTGGGCAAAGTGGGCAAAGGGCACTGACTTCTAGATGAGAGAGAGAGGGGGAGCAAGGGAAGGAGTGTGAGAGGGTGAGCGGCGCGGAGCTCCAAGATGAGGAGAGGTCCCGGATGACAAGCTTGACGACGGCTGGTGGCAGGTCCTCCTGTTCCTCCTCCTCCTGTTCCCCCTCCTCTTCCACCCTACTGGGCAGCTTCGTGAAGGCAACGGCAGTGGCAGAAGTGAACAAAAGTGCTTTGCAAGTGGCCCACCTGTAGAATTCAAAATGCACCGCGGCAATCAAATTCAATGTTTTTAGAACGCCGCTGTCACTCTTCCTGTCCGTTCGGCCTGTCAAGTGGCCCACCTGGAAGATCAAACCGGGCCCAAGACGAGCACAAAACATTTTTTGGGGGCCGCGTGGGAGGCCAACAACCCTCCCAGGTCACCCCCCTTTTTTCCAATTTTCCTGGGGTGGCCTTGATCCCGGCACTGTGGAGGGAACACCAGACCCGTGCTGTCCGCATCGCAGTTCGGATGTCCGGATCGCTACCATGATTTTTATTCCTGTTGTCAATTTTTGCGATATTCGAGATTGGTTATCAATATCACCTGTCAAGTCTGCTCTCATTTGATCCATTCAGTTTGATCGGCGTAGTCATGTCAGAGAAACAGACCTTGCTGCTTTTGCATTAAGTAACAAATACATTTACGAGTATGATTTTTTATTATTATTTTTATTTTTTATTTTTTTTAACAACACGCCCCCGTCAGTGTTAGTGGTGTTATAGGTTAGCTGGTACTTTTTGGCATGCTGCGTTACATGTTTCTCAGCTTTTGCTTGCCGTTGTGGTCGACATTTGGGGATCCGTGGAGTTTTCTTTTTTTTTTGCAATATTGAATCTCTGATGTATTTCCTCCCCCCCCCCCTCTCCTTTCTGGATTGGACCTGACTGAGATGTGACAGATTAGTTGAAGCCTTGAAGGGTGGTTGGGGGTGGAGAGGGAGCAAATTGGGCAGACATGGTGTTTTCTGTTTCAGGAATGGGTGGGTAGGTGGACTCATGGTACTCAACTCTTGTGGCACATTTTCTCAGGTAAAACTCAAATGTGAGTTTGACGGCGTTTTATCGCGGGTGATCCCTCAGATTCAGCAGGTTTGTAACCTTAACTAAACTCATGAAAAAAAAGGTTTTCTTAGTTCTAGCTTATGTCGGCATACTCACCCTATGAATATGATGACTTTCTAGAGTATATATGACGCCTTTCTTGGCCAGTCGTCGACGTCGAGGATCAGTCTGAAATGTCCTGTTGTGCGATTATGCCCTGAGTGTTGTGCATGGGTCCTGGGGACCATCTCACGCAAGTGTGTACATGCCATGCATCGTACTCCCACACACAATGAACAGTAGTCTGACAATAGACAAAGATAGAGAAGATGAGGACCGAGTTTCACAGTTTATGTTATCAGAAATATGAATACAAAGTGTTTCAAAGTTCCCCTGAGTCCAGCGCTCATCAGCGCAACACCAATATCTTGCCAACTCATCAATATGCCTTCCAGTGAATCAGTGCTACCCCTGCAGATAGTCTCCAAGTCATCAATGTGGTCACCACTCATCAGCGCTACCTCTGCAGGTCACATCCAACTCAGGTGAGTATCTTCCATAGCCAACCTTGAATGAACACTCTCAGCCTCAATCCCTTCCTCCTATGATGCATACACACTCTTCAATACTCATGAGGATCTACTCTGGATWCTACTCATAGCTACATACTAACCCTCTACTACTAATGCTAACTCACTGGGCAGCTATGGCTGCATCACTTCCAGCGTACAGGCATCTTCCTCCCTCCAGCGCGTCTTCTCCTCCAGCGCTGCTCCTCTTGACTCAGCACACAAGTGCACCAGCACTTCCACGCATTGCAGCCAGTGGAGATCTRGCAAAGAATGAGGCAGGCAGCTCTTTTTATAGTGCTGGCCACTCCTCGCTGGGTCTGCATTGGCTCAATTCAGCCTCTCCCTTTGTCCCAGACCCTGCATTGCATGTGTCCCAGTACAGTCCCAATGAGATTCAACTGCTGCTGAGGCACTTCGGCCTGGATTTGGACTTGAAAGTCTGGATCTGGACTGACCCYTTGACTTAGACCAGAACTGGGACTGTGC